GCCCCCGGGCTACCGCTGCCCCGAGCCGCAGTGCGCGCTGGCCTTCGCCAAGAAGCAGCAGCTGCAGGTGCACCTGCTGACGCACGGCGGGCCCCAGGCGCGCCGGCCCTTCAAGTGCCCGCTGGACGGCTGCGGCTGGGCCTTCACCACCTCCTACAAGCTCAAGCGACACCTGCAGTCGCACGACAAGCTGCGCCCGTTCGGCTGCCCCGTGGGCGGCTGCGGCAAGAAGTTCACCACCGTGTACAACCTCAAGGCGCACATGCGCGGCCACGAGCAGGAGAGCCTCTTCAAGTGCGAGGTGTGCGCCGAGCGCTTCCCCACGCACGCCAAGCTCAGCTCGCACCAGCGCAGCCACTTCGAGCCCGAGCGGCCCTACAAGTGCGACTTTCCCGGTAACCGCGGGGACCCGCCGCTGGGGGGGGGGTGGCCTTCGCTGGGGTTGCATTTGAAGGTTTTTTTCTTTGCAAAGCACCAGGGGTGCTGACCACGGACCCACACCCAGCCCTTTAGAGACAGGATCTTGCTCAGTGGTCGAGGCTGGCCTCCAACTCGCGATCCTCCGGCCCCAGCCTCCCCGCTGCTGGGATGACAGGCGTGCGCTCCCCCCCCCCTGGGCTTGGTTCCATTGGCAATCTTAACCCTGCCCTGCTGCGGGATGGCTGCAGCCAGGTAGCGCCCCCCTGTCATCTCGGCCGTCTGGGGAGGAGGCTTCCTTTAGTGAGAGTGATGACGTGTCTTGGGGTTTCGTTATCAGTCAGAGCTTTATTTGGTTGAGGTGTGTTGTTCAGAAACGTGGACGGGTGCAGTGTTGCTCTGGAGGAACAGGTGAACAAGGCCAGGGAGAGCACTTTATTGCACCCAGGGAGTCACCCGCGGCAGGTGTCTGGGGCGTCCCATTTCTTGTGCCTTTTGGACTTTGACATTCTTTTCCCTGCACTTCAGCACTTGGTGAAGGATAAGAGGTTTCCTCCTCTTGCAGATGAGGATGCAGGTTTCTAGCACCGGGCTGGGTGATGTCCCGTGCAGGTTTTCTCCTCCACCGTGGGGGGACCTGCAGCGCTTGGAAATGCTAAGGCACCCACACGGTGACCTCTGAGCCAGCGGAGGCAGGAGAACACTCTTGGTCCAGAGGACAGGAGTGTGGGAAAGGAGTGGGCTGGAGGGAAGCAGGGTCTACCTGTGTTCAGAGCCTGGGTGGGGGGTGGTGACCGTGGCAGCTGTGGGATCACCAGGTAGTGGCCACAGGACGTTTGCCATCCCGTTCATTCAAACAAGACCTGAGCCAGTGCTTTGCGTGTGAGTCGTGAGCACAGACCCCACGGACCTAGTAACGCAGGTGGTATAAAGTGTGTTAGGACTCGAGTATCTTGAGAGTGCCACTTCGTCCCTAGGTCCTGGGGCGCCCTGTTTTGGAGACTCTTATCCCACCGGCTGGAAATCTTTTTTTATTTTTTAATATTTATTTTTAGCTGTAGCTGGACGCAGCGCCTCCATCTCCTTTATTTTTGTGGGGTGCTGAGGTTCGAACCCAGGGCCTTGCGTGTGCGAGGCGAGCGCTCTACCACTGAGCCACAGTCCAGCCCTTGAATCAGCTCTGCGAAGCTGGAAGCTGGCGGTGGCCGTGACCCTGCTGTGACAAGAGCTTCGTCCTGTGGTTCAGGGATGCAGGTCAAGGCCAGGGTTGCGCTGGCTCCTCACTGGGGCTTGGTAGACGCAGAGAGCAGTCAGCCCAGGGCCATCAGGTGTCCCAGGGCGATGGCGGGGACCCCAGGTAGCAGTGGCGAGGGAATGCGCCCCAGCACACTGGAGGGTGCGATGGAGGGGACACCGAGGCTTGGGAAGGTCCCCGCTGCCCAGGTATAGGAAGCTAGCAGGAGGTCCCCGGGCAGCCTTGCTCAGGGCGCTGCGGTGACACCTGCCCTTGCTCCCACACCTTGCGCGACTCAGGAGGGGCAACAGGTGCCTCCACGGGGCACCTGCCCAGCGTCCAGCAGCCCAGCTTGGTTGTCAGACACGGCTGGGGAGGCCAGCGATGGCCAAGGGCAGCCCCTGGGGCTGGCAAGGCCACCAGGCACTGAGGGTGGAGTGGGGACGAAGAGCACCAAGCAGGAACCTGAGGAACGGGAAGGGACACGGAGACGGGGAGGGGGGACTGTCAGAGGAACCCCAAGTGTGGGGACCAGAGTGGCGCTTGAGCCCGTGGAGGGCAGGACTCTTGCCTGCAGATCAGCGCGACAGACTGGCCTCTGGTGGCTGTGACCATAAGGCCCGTGGTCAGTTAGATGCCCCTATCCAAGTCACAGTGCAGCAAGTGGCCGCCGTCGCCATCCCTTCTGTAGCCGTCACGAGGCCACATGTCCCCGGTCACAGTCAGGACTCTAGAAATGGCTTTTGAGTCACCATCTCCCTGTCTGCTCAGCATGGCCATGTCCTGGGCTGTGGCCAGCATCCGGGCTGTGGGCAATGTCCCGAGTTGAGGCCAGCATCCACGCTGGGGGTAGTGTCCCGGGCTGAGGCCAGCGTCCAGGCTGTGGGCAGCGTCCGTGCGCTGGGTCCCGGGCCAGAGCGGGCTGTTTCTCTGTGCAGGCTGCGAGAAGACCTTCATCACCGTGAGCGCCCTGTTCTCCCACAGCCGTGCGCACTTCAGGGAGCAGGAGCTGTTCCCCTGCTCCTTCCCCGGGTGCAGCAAGCAGTACGACAAGGCCTGCCGCCTCAAGATCCACCTGAGAAGCCACACAGGTAGGAGCAGGCGCCCCACGGGTGCTGGGGCGACAGTCCCCCTCGGAGAGCCTTTGGATGCATCACCTTGCTTTGCAATTTTTTTTTTTTTCTTTGACAAGGTGAAAGACCATTTATATGTGACTCGGACAGTTGCGGCTGGACCTTCACCAGTATGTCCAAACTCCTGAGGCATAAAAGGTAGGCCGGCTGACTGGGGGGCTGGCAGCTCTGAAAGCGGATGAGCTGTTTTAAAAAATTTTAAAAAAAACTATGTAGGAGCCGGGCCCGGTAGCGCATGCGTGCGATTCCAGCGGCTCAGGAGGCTGAGGCAGGAGGATCGTGAGTCGGAGGCCAGCCTCAGCAACAGCAGTGTGCTCAGCAGCTCAGGGAGAGACCCTGTCTCGAAATAGAATACAGAATATGGCTGGGGACTTAGGGGCTCAGTGGCCGAGAGTCCCTGAGTTCAATCCCTGAAACCAAAACCAAACCAAGTTTTTTGAAACTTGGAAAACTGTGAAGAAAATTGTTCAGAGTCTCACCTCCTGGAGACGGGTCTCCTAAGTGTTCTTTATCGTTATCCTTTATATACAATGACTTTTCTTGTGTTTTTGGACACCGAAGGATAAGTTTGACACCCATAGGGCCTGTGTCCCAGGCATGCTCGTCACTTCACACGGGTGTCACATTCCATTTTCATGACAGCGCTGTCCCTGATGTCATGCCTGGGCGTGCACAGCTGGGCCCTGGGATTTGATGGAAGAGCCATCCTTCCTTAGGAAGGGACACGGGACCCTCCAGCTTGCAGCCTGAGCCCCGTGCCCACCTCTGCTGTGTCTCTGGCTTGGTGACAGGGATTTCTAAGCAGTGGGATTCTGCTGCTCCTAGAAGCGACACTGACTGTCCTGTCTGGGACTCGGGGGCAGCCAGGCAGCAAGCCACACGTGGTCAGAGATGGCGGAGGTTTTCTGAGCTCTACTGACCCTTTTTTCCAAGTGAAGAGAGCTCATAGTTTGATGTCATTTTGCAGAATTTAAGCAGGGAATTGCCTCTGGGGTCACAGCTGCTGCTTCTCTTTCTGTCCCTGCAGGAAACACGACGATGACCGGAGGTTCACCTGCCCCGTGGAAGGCTGTGGCAAGTCCTTCACCCGCGCAGAGCACCTGAAAGGGCACAGCATCACCCACCTGGGCACCAAGCCCTTCGAGTGCCCCGTGGAAGGTAGCGTGTCACACTCCTCCCCGCTCTAATGAAGCGCCAGGCCACCTCGGGCACTAGATCCCGTGGGTGAGCTGAGCCTCAGGTAGGGGAAGGCCAGGTGAGTGCAGGTGGCAGTCTGGGGTTTCCCTAGCCCGTCTGGGGAGCAGCGTCAGAAGGAGGCCCAGACCAGGGTTCCCGTCTGTTCGCCTCCAGCCCTGCCACCCGCTCACTCGGTGGCTCTGAATGGTAACTCACTATCTTGGAGCAGTTGGAAGGTGGCCAAGCTCAGCTCAGGTTTATTTATTATTTTGGTCCTAGGAATTGAACCCAGGGCCCTGTCCCCAGCCCTATTTATATTTTATTTAGAGGCAGGGTCTCCCTGAGCTGCTTAGGGCCTTGTTTTTGCTGAGGCTGGCCTCCAACTCACGATCCTCCTGCCTCAGCCTCCCAAGTTCCTGGGATGACAGGTGTGCACCACTGTGCCTACCTAAACTCACTTTTTGTTGTTGTTTTTTTTAGGTACCAAAAATTAAACCCAGGGGAGTTTAACCACTGAGCCATGTCCCCAGTGCACTCCCGCACCCCCCCGCCCTTTTATTTTGAGACAGGGTCTTGCTAAGTTGCTGAGGCTGGCCTCCAACTTGCAGTCCTCCTGTCTCGGCCTCCCAAGTTGCTGGGATGACAGGCGGTTGCTGGGATGACAGGCGTGCACCACTGTGCCTGGCCCAGGCTGACTTTTTTAAAGGGCTGTTAGTAAGCCGAGTGCAGTGACCACACCTGTGATCTCAGTGACTCAGGAGGCTGAGGCAGGAGGATCACAAGTTCAAGGCCAGCCTCTGCAACTTAGCATAGACCCTGTCTCAAAGGCGTGTGGCCACTTGAGCCACATCCCCAGCCCCATGGGTTTCTTTAAGGTGCTGGGGGCAGGGTTCACCTGACAGAAACCTGTCGTGTGGCCCGCCGAGCTGGCCCACTCTGGGGCCGCAGAGGCACTAGGGAGCAGCAGACCAGGGCAGACCTGGAAGTCCCCAAGTGGGTGGCCTCAGCTGCTTGTCTGGGCTTTCCTTCTCAGTCTGGAGAAGGGGAAAGAGAGGGCAGAGACCAGCTCTTCGAATGTGGTGGACACAGTACAAGTGGAGTGGCCAGGCTGCGTGGGCTCAAGGGGCCTTGTCATGCTGCTGGGGTGGCAGGGAGCAGGCGAGGGCCTCCGGTCAGCCTGAGGCGGAAGGTGCCAGCCGGGCACGGGGAAGGTGTGCGAGGCGGGAGAAGCAGCGGGTGGACCCCCCCAGCCAGGAAAGGGCAGCAGCCAAGAGCTCACGGTTCAAAGACGAGGCCCACGTTCAAGGTGCAGCCCAGTCGGGTCTGAGGACGAGAGGGGAGGCGAGGGGCTGCAGCCCTCCTGGGCAGGTGCCTGTGCCCGGCAGGGAGCTGGCAGCCAGAGAGAGGGCGGCCCACAGCTGGGCTGGATGGGGGCCGGGGCAGAGGACACAGCTGCATTGTCAGCTGAAGCGGGGCTGGTTGGGGAGAAGGGGAGGCGGTCAAGGGCAGTGATGAGAAATCTGAATTCTGAGCTGGCCGTGGTGTGCGTCTGTCATCCCAGCAGCTCGGGAGGCTGAGGCAGGAGGATCGCAAGTGGGAGGCCAGCCTCAGCCCCTCAGCAAGGCACTAAGCAACTCAGTGAGCCCCTGTCTCTGAATCAAATGCAAAACAGGGCTGGGGACAAGGCTCACAGGTCGAGGGCCCCGAGTTCAACCCCTGGCACCCCAAAAAAATATACAACTTCTGGAGTCCAGTCTGCGTGAATCCAAGTCCCGACTCTGCCCCGTAAGTCGCTGTGCGATCTGGGATAGGCAGCTTTAACTCTGTCAAGTGACACCAAGGTGACCAGACTCCACCTTCTTAGCAACCCTGGGAGGGACAGAAGGGCGCAGGGCCAGCTCGGGCAGGCCAGAGACGCGGCTGGGGCAGGGCTTTGGGGTTCCTGGTCTCTCTGGTCTCCTCCGAGCACCTTGCTCCATTGTTTCGGGTTGTTTTGGTCCCAGGGATTGAACCCAGGGACCTTTAACCCCTGAGCCCTGTCCCAGCTGTATCTGGTATTTTATTTAGAGACGGGGTCTCACCGAGTGGCTTAGGGCCTCCCTGAGTAGTTGAGGCTGGCCTCCAACTTGGGATCCTCCCGTCTCAGCCTCCCGAGCTGCTGGGGTGACGGGCGTGGGCCACTGTGCCTGGCAAGCAGCTTGTGGTGGATCTTCCTTCCTGTGGTGCTGTCCCTGGGGATACTCCGCGTGCGTCCCTTCGAGGCACCGGTGCTTAAAAGCTGGGCCTCGTGGCCCTGCCCTGACGGGTGTGCTGGTTCCTCATCATCTTCAGGTGTCACTCTTCCCCTCCTCTGTTCCAGGGTGCTGTGCCAGGTTCTCCGCCCGCAGCAGTCTCTACATTCACTCCAAGAAGCACCTCCAGGACGTGGGTGCTCCCAAAAGCCGCTGCCCGGTGTCCAGCTGCAACAGACTCTTCACCTCCAAGCACAGCATGAAGGCGCACGTGGTGCGGCAGCACAGCCAGCGCCCAGGTCTGC